CAGTTCTGAGATGTGATCTTTAGGGACATCATCTAGTTTGTTCAATAAAGTATTAATGTGTTGGAAAGAATAATTCTTTTTCATGGACCAAATGTTACAGGTAACTTCCAGAAACTGACAGATAAACTATCTTCACAAAGATTCACATAATCAAAAGTGAGAAGGAAAATACTTAAAATTTTTAAAGACCAAATACTTTTAATCTTTGATCCAACTGATAAATAATTAAAGGGTTATCTCACTTAAAACAATTTGAAGATTTAAAAATTATACTCATTTTATCATAAATTTTCAAGTGCCACCTTATTCAGTAATGGTAAACTCAGAATCTAAGCCTGTTTAGAGTCAAGAAGAATGAAAATGAAGTACATTCTATTTCTAGGAAGAGCCGTAAATTAACTGGAAATTATTTCGGATTAATTACCTTTGTGGCTATAACTGACCGGCTTCTCTGTGTCTGCTTGTCTTCCCTGTGAGTCCTGAGCCATAGGGTGTCACTCTAATGCCTGATGTGACTAAGCATCCAGTAATGCAAAGAAAGCAAGAATGGATCACGTTTACTAGAACCATGCTGTGTGTTACACAGTGTTGTTCTTTATGTATCTCTTTTAATGAACACGGTAGTCTCGGTGGTAGGTGGCCAGTGTAAAACACGGAGGCCAGGTAACTCTGCCATGTGACCGGAAGTCCAGGTGCAGCCCAGGTAGCCTGACTCCCGGCCTGCGGTTGAGGTGCTCCTCCGCGTTGTTATGAGAAAATTCAGAAAAGCTCATTTTAAATATTACTTCCTTTAAAAAGACTTTTCTGACTCTCCCAAGCACCTCAAGAAAGCTTTCCTTTTGCTCCTTAATCCACTCTTTTCATTCATCCATTATACAAACCATCATACTGGATGTCTCATGTCAGCCTCTCTTTCCTGAGAGAGGTGACTGTGGTGTGGTATTTCATGTGGTGTCCCCAGAATCTATCAACATCTGCTACACAGCAGGTACCAAATATAAATCCATTAAAGAAGTGAACGGTATATGTTTCTATGGAAATAAAAGCTAGTAGGCTGACCATAAATTTAAATAAAATGAGATCGTTGCCCAGTATCAATAACTTGATTCTGCTTTAGTGAGCAGAGCTGATCTGGGTTGGACTGACCACTGAGGTGAGGGAAGCTGCTATGTGGCCAGTCCAAACCATTCATGAATGAAATCTGGTATATTGCTCAACAGCAGAGCAGCGTGTCTCGCTTCTTAAGAGCTGCCTGGTGCAGTAAGACCTGGTTTAACTGAGAGCT